ATTTGGACTTAATCCTTCAAGGAGGGTGTGAGGGCCCATTAGATGGTTTCAGATAGTGTGGTGACATGATTAAGGTCTATGCTTCTGAAAAAAAATCCCTCTGGCAACCTATATATTGGCTATAATCCCATAATTAGTTCATCGGAACACCTCAGAGAGAACATGCTGGTGATGGGAAATGTTTTAATAGTTCCTCTTAAAGCCAGTGATATCAAATGGCATATTAAGTGACCTAATTTCATAGGCAGTGTGCTGTAGAAAGCAGTTTCCTGTACCCAGTGTAAGATCATTAAAATCTGTCCATTGTCAGGATCATTGCTCCCCTAATAGCAGGTTTACAGAGACATTTAGTCTTACTGTTACTATCACTATTAGCTCATTGTTCAAGTACTTCTCGGTTTCAATCAGATCTCTCTCCAGCGGAGAAAATTCAGGCAAGTAAAGCAGCGTGCAGACGTAGAGCCCTGAACTGGGGGCCTTCTCTACCAGGGTCTCCTTCCTGCTCTGCCGCACACTAGCCAAGGGAGTTAAATCAAGTTAATTTCCCCCAAGCCAGTTTCTTCACTTATAAAACGGGCATTAAAAACCCTACCTACTTCTGGAGCAATTGTGGTCAAATGCAATCATTAAAAGATAGTGCTTTGAAAAATATAGCATATTACACAAATGCAAGTTGACATTAATTTTCCTCTTCACATTACCATCATCCCTGTACAAATTTGGGTTAGTAAAGAGGAAAAAATCTTATACCTAAGAGAAAGATCTTTTTCTGCCCTGCTTAGAGCAAGAGCAAATTCATAAATGTCTGTAATTTGCCTTGGTGGTATTTCATGGTTCCTTCTCCAAGTATCAAATGTGCTAGAGGTTTTCCTAGTATCCAGGCAACACGTTGCCTCCACTTAGCCCTTGAAAAGTCTTGAATTAAAAATAGACTTTGTTTTGCTGTGTTCTGAAATCTAGAGCTGTATGTTTTAAAGGAGTCAAAGGTCCCCCTTGAAATTGGAAAGGGAACCAGTCATGTCCCAGAGCGTTTAGGGCATGAGCAAAGTCCTGCAGAGCAAATTAGAGGGGTTGAGTGTGTGTGCAAAGCCATGACTCACTCTAGACTCTCTGCTCTGTGGGTGGGTGTCCCCAAGGAAGGAGGAGAGGGCTGGTGGTTCTGAGTTTGCCGGAAAGAACTGCTGGTTCTAGAAGAGGAACCACTAGTACTACACACAGAAAGCTTTTTATCGTCGTCATGATATTCTGTGTGCTAATCAAAGACCCTCCAGGTAGTGTTTCAGTTTTATGGTTTTAAAGCACATCTTGCTCGAGTGGTTGTGTTAGAAAGCCATCCACTTGCCATGCCTAATGTCCAATGGGAAAACATCAGGTTATGGGGCCTTCCCTGCTGGTGACAAGAGAAACCACACACATGCCACTGTGAATGCAATGAGTTGTTTCCATGAAGTAGGCAAGATGCTCTTCAGTCAGACCCAGACGTGTCGGCACTGAAGCAGTGAATTTTACATGGAGATGGGGAGGAGGCGACCTCAAGATGCTGCCCCCACTGTGGCAGCAAAAATATCTCCTTTTGTTTATCCCTCCCCTGTAACTGGCTGTGGCACTAACCACTGTGCTTATACTGGCTTCCCAAGTGGTTTGCAAGTTTTTCTTAGACTTACCCGTCGCTGGGTATGATCAAAAGCAAATAAAATATTTATCCCTATTTTATCAAAAGGAATGGCTCCCAGACAGCTGTTTCCTTTGCTGAGGCCAAACAGCCAAACTTAAAAGAGAACTTCCCACTTTGATTCTAGGCTCATTTTGGGGGAAAAATAAAAATAAAAGACATGGAAGCAGTGTGGGTTCTGGCCTGAGACTCTACCCCAGACTAGCAGTGTGGTAGGGGCAAGTCACTTAACCTTACTGAGTCTTAAATCCTCACCTACAAAATGGACTTGGTTATTGCTGCTCTTTGAAAGGCTTAACTTAGTTCAGAGATTTTGATGCTAGAGGCAGCAGTGTAGTTGTTTATAAGTTAGACTCTGGAGCCAGACTCCCCAGACATGAGTCCCAGCTCCACCTCTTCACTAGCTGTGTGACCTAGTGTAAGTAACTAAACCCTCCTGGGTCAGTCAAATGGAGATAATAACAGGACCTACCTCATAGGGGTGGTGTGGGAATGAAAGAGTTAATATAACCAAAAACACTTAGCACAGTTCCTGCCATTTAGTAAGTACTCTATGAGGATGTGTTATGATTGTGATAGATCATGATTATGATTGTTATTATCCATACATCAAGTGCCTGGCATGAATAGTTGACCAAAAAAGGTGAACTCATATTACAATTTCCATTATTTCTTCCATCAAAACATTTGAATTTTCAGGAGCCTGAAAGGGAAGTAATAGCATTAGAAGTCAGTTTTTTGATTTAACTAAACAGATGTCGATGGAGTCCTTTCCAAAATCTTATTCCTTCAGGGACTTAAGATTTAATCTTAAGGGGATTGATGAAATAGGTGAAGGAGGAAAAAATCTTATACCTAAGAGAAAGATCTTTTTCTGCCCTATCTTAAGGGGATTGATGAAATAGGTGAAGGAGGAAAAAATCTTATACCTAAGAGAAAGATCTTTTTCTGCCCTGCTTAGAGCAAGAGCAAATTCATAAATATCAGTCCAAACCTTCTGAATCAGAAATTCTGGGTATGTAGCCCATCAGTCTATTTTTGTTTTTCAGTGCACACTTAATTTTTTTTAGACTGTTTGTTTGTAGCTAGTTGTAGGTTAACAGGAAAATTAAGCAGAAGGTACAGCAGAAGGTACAGAGATTTCCTATATACCTGCTGCCCCCATGCATGCATAGCTGCCCCCATTATCAACATCCCCCACCAGAGTGGTGCTTTGGTTACAACTGATTAACCTACACTGACAGGTTATCAGCCCTCTAGTCTGTAGTTTGCATCAGGGTTCACTCTTGGTGGTATACATTCTGTGGGTGTGGACAAATGTATGATGATACGTATCTGTCATTACAGTATCCTACAGACTGTTTTCCCTGCCCTGAAAATCTTCTGTGCTCTGTTTGTCCTTCCCCTCCCCCACCCCCTGGCAGCCACTGCCCTTTTCACTGTCTCCACAGCTCTGCCTTCAGTCTGTTTTCACAAGTGTCCCAGTGATTCCCACGCTTTCTAAAGTTTGAAAACACCAGAGCTAGACTGTAACTTTGACCACCTTCTATCCCAGGGTGGGTGAGGCAGGTGTCAACAAAGACTTGGGTACTCCATCTGTTTGAGGTGTTCTAGCCCAGGAAATGCTAGGTGACTAAATTAAGCAAAAATATAGGTAGTTCTGGGAAGCAGAGGCACAGGTGAGGAGCAGGGAAGGGAGAGCCCTTTGAGAGTATGGGAATCTGTTGATTGGGAACAGAACATCTTGAGATCTTGGGGTGTTGGGTGGTCTGTGGCCACATCTTGTGCCATGCTGCTCTGAGTGATGGATAGGAGAAGAGATGCCTTTTGAATTTTTATGTAAGATTAAAATAAGAAAATCCATTTCAGCCTTCAGAAGTCAGAAGTACTGGTACGAAAGGTCATGGTGCCAATTGATGCCATTGCAGAGCTCAGAGGGAGAGTATGAAAATGGCAAACTTGTTGTTTTTTAAGCACTAGTTGTACTGTGGGCTTGAGTCTCAGTCTTTTGCCATCTTGCTGCCCTGGGATCTTAAGTAAAAAGGCATGTGAAAAAAGAAAAATACTAAGATATTTTTCCACCTTTGGCAGGAAGGAGGGTATGTAGTTGTCCTCAGACTAAGGGTGATATAATATTTGCAGTGGAGTAAGCAAAGCAATTAGATGGTGACTCCATGGGAAGGTGACTGTTAACTAGTTGCAGAGTGTACTTCACTGAGCAGTACTGACTGATCATGGCCTACAAGTCTGAGCCAACACTCTTGAATTTCCTTAGTTTAACAGATAGTCCATTCTTAATGGTTTCAAATTCTGTCTCTCTGCTTGTGACTCTCAGATATTTTAAACCTGTGTGGATGCTGTTCTGTCCTCACAAACACGGTATAGACAGAATCAAACTGATAGGTCACAACCTTCCCACCCCAACCCCTAGCCTGGTTTCCTCTCCCTAGGTACTGCGATCCTTAGTCACCCACAGTTGGACCCCAAACAAACCCCATCTCATACAGGACTGGTCCCCAGTAAATACTTGTTGATTTTATCTGAAATAGCCACACTTTCACCATTGAGAAGAATGTATTCTAATTTTCCTAAATTGAGTTATTCTGCTATTTCTCCTATTACATTGTTTAAAACTATACATATGCATGCTCATGTACATATATACACACATGTACATATATATAGATGCATGTGTATATATGTAGCAATTATCCTCCACTTTAACAGTATGTCAATTTAATTATGGAATGATATTAGGAAAATAATCAATTGGAAATGCTGGTATTCCAGTGCTATGTGTTTTATCACAGGTCAGTGTAGGAAATTTTGATTGTGGATCCGTGGCAAGATTAGTAAGCGATTTCCAAATTAAATTTTATGTATTTCAAAGACTCTATTTTTTGCTCTCTTGTTTCTTAAGAAGTTGAAAGACTGTTTCTGATTCATGTGTGTGTTATAGAATTTTCAATTTCTAAAAAAATGTGGCTGTACTATTTTTCTTTTGGCAGAAATCATAATGCTATAGATTGGAAGTGGTCTGCCAAATTTTTAAGTTCTTCATAAAAGACAGAGATGTGGGACTGAAATTTGACCTTAGAAACATTTATAGAAAAGATTACCACAAAAATAACTTCATAACAAGATGGGTCCTTACTGTTAGAGTAGACTTTCCATCAAAAGAAGCAGCCTGTCCTCTTTCCAAACCTGGCTTCCTTGTTGCTTAGGAACAAGAAAGAAAATCTAACCTCACTCCTGTTCTTGGTGCTGGTGACACTGAACATGGCCCTGACTATAGAGGCTGACGCTGAGCCCCTTGTCTTCTTTGCAGACTGCATCCTCTGCTATCAAAGGTGCTATTCAGCTGGGAATAGGATACACAGTGGGTAATCTCACTTCCAAGCCAGATCGGGATGTTCTCATGCAAGACTTTTATGTGGTGGAAAGTGTGTTCCTACCCAGGTAAGAACATTTCTGTTTGTGATGATTTCCATGCCAAGGAGCCTTCCTTGGGACTTGTCCACATGGAAGACTTTTCTGCCAGTGTGAACGTACATGTCCTGATGTATGCATGGGACCTTTGGCAGGTCCCAAAGCAGTCCACACAATTACTTTCTGTTGCCCCAGGTGGCTTGCATACTTTATATGGCGGTGGTAAATAGGGGTTGTCCTGTGGGTCAGCTGTAACTAGTTATGATAATGCCTGGAAGACCACATGGAAAGTGACTTCGAGAGTCAGTGTGGAAGAGTGCAGTAACCGCAGAGTAGTGTCTGCGGTTGGTATCAGATTTTTGTTACTCCTAATTTAAAAGATGGGCCAGTGGGGGAGCCCACAAGTGGGCCTTGCATCTGAGTTCAGTCATATAGGTCCCCTTTTAAGATGACTTTAACTTTAACTTTTCCCCAGAAAACTTGGGTGAATTCCCCAGTTTTGACATTGTATTTGCAAAAACACCCATGTGTCCCATACATGTCGCCTGTAACTTTATCGTATTTTGCGGGAAGAAATCAATTCAAGAAATAAATCTAAGATGGCTGATAGTAACAGTTGCACAACAATGTGAATGTTCTTCATGCCACAGAACTGTCCACTTAAAAATGGTTAAAATGGTAAACTTTATATTAGTGTACTTCACCAAAATAAATAAATAGAAAATTTTAAAGTCTAGGAAAGGAAGAGAAGTAATCATTATTAGATTAGAAATGTCACCACTACAGATAGGATTTTTCAAAAAAAATAGCCTAGCAAATAAAAATAAAGTTATGTGATCTGGGGGTTTGGGGTAATTATTTTTGTCTTTGGGGCTATGAGGACTGACTTGTCAAATATGTTTATATTTTAAAGTAAATATCTCCTACACAAGCCACTCTTGCTATCAATTGTCACCAGGTTCAGTGAGAATGGCAGAAGTGATATATTTACCCTTGGCATCCTCAATGCCTTATTAAAAAAAAAAAAAGGAAATGGTACTTACATTTGTCTCTGTGTCCAGGTGTTAAGTGCCTAGAAATAAAACCTTTAGTTGAGTGTGCCCACTTAGTCATAAAGGAGCCTGTAAGAACTAAGGAAAGTCAGCTATGAACCCAGACAGCGTAGTTATGCTTCAAATGCTCCTGACTGAAGAAGAAAGTTGATCTATTGGAAGTTTTGAAATTTCCTTCTCCTGGGTCCTCTAGCAGCCACCAAAACAAGTTTGGAGACAGAAAATGCACAACCCCAAGGCCTAAGACAATCCTGTTTGCTCACGGCACTATTCTTCTTTCTGTAATTGGAAATTATCCTGTGTGTTTGTCTTAATAGTCTATTTACCATGCCAAAAAAGTGTGTATTAACTACATTTTTTATCTTTAAAGTCAGGAGGTCACGAGTGTATCTGAACCTTTGGGTATGATCTGTTAGGATCATAATTCCTTTAAATGTACCTGCAGGATATTCTAGCTGGCGTGGCCTTCTAGGGCCTCTAGCCAGACATTTCAACCTTGTTTTTATTTTGGCTACAAAGAACAAGAGGAATGGAAGTCCTTGTGGAGGAGTGGCTGTCAGTGTATTCAGGGCACTGGGACCAGTCACAGCTGGAGATGGGTATAGAGAAGGGCAGTGTGCTCCCTCCATGCTGATCTCTTCCACTCACAGAGTCCAGTCAACAGAGCCAGCCACTTTTGGGCACTGGGGGAAAACATGGTCCAAGCATGTGGTCCCCAGACCCGGCAGCAGCTTCACTGGGAACCCATTAGAAATGCAGATTCTTTGGCTCCACCCCAGACAGGCTGAAGCAGAAACTCCAGGTAGTAGAACCCAGGAATTTGCTCTAACAATCCCTCGGGTGATTCTAAGTATGGAAAAGTTTGAGAACCTCCAGCCTAGCACATTACATCCCATGTTAGATGGTAATCTTTCCAGTAGATACTAAATTTTATTCTTGGAGTTGCTATATGATTCTTGCAAATAATAAAACTCCAAGTGATTTTAAATTAATATCTTAAATACCAAAGTTACATCTATTTTTAGCAACTAAACTATACATGACACCATATGAGATATTTTACAAGGAGCCCATAAATAAGATCGTTATAGGTACTTTCTCAGTGCCATGACTCATTTTGTTCATGGACAATTTATTACAAGCATCCTGCATCTTTATGATTAAGACCAAATGAGATCATGTTTCCACCTTTTTCTTCATGAGTAGGAAGCCAAAGTTGTACCTACTTGGAATTTGTGTTTGACCTTCCCTCCATGTTCCGAGGTAGCAGTAGTGGCTGCTGAGTGACAGGCATGTCACTGGGGGAAGGAGTGCCTAGCAGACTTACCCCAGTTAGAGGAATCCACTTCATATCTAAACTATATCATTTTAAAGCATATATAGCTTTTAAATGTCAATATGATGTGAAACATTGGATTCAGTCAAGAATTTATTTCAGTGAATACTGTATTATTTAAGTAACATATGTGCTCCAGATATATTGAACTGAATGAAAACTGAAGATACTTACATGAGTCTTGCCTCAGTTTTCTCATCTGGGCCGTTTTTACATTGGTTTGGTGAAAGGGTCGGGCCCAGTGTTTCTCAGTGGAGGTACTGTTGGTTTTTTGGGTGAGACAACTCTCTGCAAGACTGCACGTGTCAGGGTATTTGGCATACCCAGGCCAAGTCAGTAACATCTCCTTGTTACTGTAGCAATCAAAATACCCCCTGGAAAGTGGTGGTCAAATTCAGTATCTGCATTGTGGTGATGGTTTCATGGGTGTATAAACCAACAAACTGTACACTTTATAGGATGTCAGATGCACCCCTCTAGAGCTGCCAGATAAGGCTCCTTCCCTGCAGGCCCATACTTCTACATCTGCCTGGGGTTGAGAGTCAGGGGCATTGGGCAGGACTGGCCCTGCGGGTGAGTGACTGAAACATTCTGAAGTCTCTGATGACTCTAAAATTCAGTGAGTCCATCTAGGTCACAGAAATAATTGCTTAGGGTGCCATGAGATGTTTTCATTCACTACAGTTGTGAAACTGCAGACTCTGTTTCCTCAGCAACGCAATGCACTGTGTTGTTTATTTATTTTAAAGTGGCTCAAAGGTGTTTTTTTGAGATATGTATTTGTTCTATAGGTTATTTCATTTTGTAGATGGAATACTGTCTGGACCTGTATAAAATGCAAAGGGTGATATAAAATCCCTTTCAATGATCTGGTTTCATAATCCTCCAAAATCATCAAGTAGATGAATATGAGAACCATGACCGTATCTTAATCTTTTGAGCCCAAATTCTGTGCTGCGATCAGAAACTCAAGGTTGCAGGTAAATTTTGATGTGTAGTAGGGATTAGGAAGAAAGAAAATGTTTTAACGTGAAGCTGAGGTGTAGAGAGATGAAGTTTGTAAGTACCACCTATGAGCCAAGAAGAGTTCTATTGATATACTATTTATGTGATGCAATGTATAATATTGTTATTATCTTTCATCCTTACCAAAAAAAAAAAAAATTTAGCATGAAGTAACTAAGGCCCTGAGACATGAAGTGGCTTTACCTAAGGCTATCCAGCCAATATACAGTTAAGCCAGTATCTGAACTCAGAGGTGGATGCTCCAAAGGTTTGTTTTTCCCTACAGTGTGCCAGTAATGTACAGGAACAGTATTTCTGCTTTTTTGAATCAGAAAGTATTCAGCCTTTACCTTAGAATTATGAACCTAACTCTGCATGATAGCCAGCTCTAATCCTTTCCTCTGCACCCCTCAGGAGACCCCCTCTCTGCCCTCTCTGGCATGGAAAATATAGTCTGAAATCTGGCAGTGGAAGTTTTATCTCTTTCCACATTCACAAATAATCTAACTGAAGCATTTAACCTCCTCTCTTACAAATGGAATTTAGCTTGATGTGAGGATCATTGCCAAGAACAGACTGCCCTTCCGTTGGGTGGATGTGCTCTTTGGGATTTATCTGAACAACCAGGGAATGCCCTCACTGGGGGAGAGAATTCCACAGAACTCCTGTAAGAGTAAAACATTCTAAATGACAGGCAAACACACAAGTCAGAGATTCACCTAAGCATTGCCAGACATCAGTCCTAGATACTATGGCTTTGACAGACTAGTCAGTTCCCTGCATTTCAAGTGATGCTGACATAGACTCATCCAATAACCCATCTATCTCATGGGTCAGAACATTACAGCCCATGGGACAAATCCAACTCCTTGCCTCTTTTTGTAAATAAAGTTTAATTGGAACAAGTATTGTCTGTGGCTGCTTTTCCACTATGACAACAGAACTGAGTAGTTATAACAGGAACTGTAAAAAGATTGCCAGCCCCTGATCTGTATATTCTGTACCAGATTTTGTGTTTATGTGGATAGAACACAAAGCTGCCAGAATATTCTCCTCAAGATTAAATAGGACATGTGACTGTCATTGGGTTAGCCAATAACAGGTTGTCTCTTTAAATCAAAACTCTTTAAATATTTGTTCAACATGTATGTAGAGGGCATGGGGAGAAGCTGATTTCCTATTAAGTTATATAACTCTTCCTTTAGTTCAAAATAAAAGATTATTGCATGCACTGAGTATTATGTAACATTTTAATTTACTTGAAATTACCTTCAAAATACAATTTCCCAGTATGATACTACTTGGCAAGTGTAACATTTAGGTAATCAGTGATGTTGCATGTTCCCAGTAAATGACCCCACAGAAAGCATTATTTGGTTTTGGAATTTAAGCTCTCTTCAGCTGCTGACATTTAAACACTGGCTGTCAGCTGGTTGGCCTCAAAAGATGGTACAGCCTCTGGTTGCATGAGGCAGCCCACGTGCACCCATCCCAGAAGTGATCAGCAGAGGGAGGTTGGCACCAGCAAAGACTGTCTTTTATTTGATTGTGTTTTTATTTGTTTCTTCATTCAAGAGGACTATCTAACTTGGCAAAAGAGAGGACCAATTTATATTCACTGGTTAAATGAAGACTCG